GGGGGGGGGGGGGCTGTTTTTCGTTGGGGAATGGTTGAGTCACCTTCGTTTTTCGTAACACAAGCACTGAGGATACGTGCGCCTCCGCAAAGACGTGTGGGTTAGGTTGGCAACAACAATCAAGAGGATGCCTTACGGCAACAAAGGAGTATTAAGGATAAGATGTGGTTGGAGAACGCTGAGACCAATGTGGTCCACGGGCAAGCTGCTGTGCCGGCAATCAACGAACACAAGGTTGTTTTCTTCTCTCTGCTGCAGGGCTTGCATGCAGCGAGGGTTGTAGACTTTTTTTTTTCCTTACTGGCAGCGGGGGGGGGGGAATTTGTTTTTTGGGCATGGTTGAGTCAACGTCTTCGTTTCTTCGTAGCATCGCCATTGAGGGTACGTACGCCTCCGCAAAGACGTGTGGGTTTGGTTGGCAACAGCAATTGACAGGAGGCCTTGCGGTCACGTGTGGTTGGAGAACGCCGAGACCGTTGGGGTCCACGGGCGACTGTCTGCGCCGCCACTCTGCGTAAATGCACGTCGTTTGGTGTTTTTGCCAGTTTCCAAGACTTGTTCTTGCAACCCAATACTACGTTGGGTGTTGGCGGTAACTCTCAGGCACGCTTTGGGTTCCACCATTTTGGAGCCCTGCAATTTACGCCGTCTCCGTGCATGCTCACTTCAAGCGCAGGAATGTGTTGGCGATGGGACTCGATAAGACCCCATTTCTTAGTGGGGTTGTGTGCGTCTCCTTCAGGTTTGCAACCTGGAGCAATGTTTCACCCACGCGACGAATCTTACGTTGTATGATAGATACGTAATGAAGTTTTTTTCGACCATCGCCGTTTCGTCTAGCGTGCTGCAAACCGAAAATATTTGTGTAACAATAACCTTGCACAACCAATTTAATACATAGACAGCTACCGTATCGACGACAACAACGCTTCGACGACAACAACGCTTACAATCCATACGTTCCTAATTGGGAAAAAAAAGTCGAGAACATGCGACACTTTTCATGCACTACCCAAAAGAAGCACCCTCCGAGACCTACCGGGCCCCGGTCTCGGCCGCACACGATTCATGTCAACCCAGCACCAACACACACACAACCAAGATCCACTCACCGGCACATAACGAACCACGTGAACCCGGAAACTCATGGCCATAACGCGTAACACCGACACCCACAAAACATGGCAGCGAGAATCAACATGTCACACATCAAACCCCCCTCCCCTGGATGCGCCTACACCCTAGCAGCAGCACCCAAAACGCTTCCGTCCAGCGCCCTCCGCCCTCTACAACGAGGTACCCCCCTCCCGCGCCCCTCTCTCCCACGCCGCTACCCTCCCTCCCGCGCGTCTCGTCCTACCGTGGAAGCGAGACCCGCCACCTCGAGGCGGCGAGCCTACTTCTGCCGCGATCCGCTTATATGTAGCCCCGAACCCTAACCTGCCCTTTAAGTGTACCCACGACGGACAGAATCGCCTCCCCGAGCACGCACACACACACACCCCGCCCCCTTCCCCCCCGCCGCGCCTCTCGCCCGCTTGTAGTAGCGACCTTCCCCCCATCCGACTCCATCCGCACCTATGTTGACCCGTCCGCTCCCCCCTCGTGCGCCCGCCACGCTATGCCGCCAGAGCTGGATACGTCCTTACGAATTCCTCTGGCGGTTGTAGTTCGGCCTCCACTGCTTCTTCAACCCCAGGGCCTTGCGGATAGCCGCTCGGGCCGGGGTCTCACCGCTCCTCAAAGGAGCCGGCTCCGTTTCCCAGCCATTCGGCAAGGTGCGCTGGGTAGCACAGAGGGCCGGTCGGTTGCGTCCGCTGCGGGAGTCCTCCTCTGCAAGCTGGATCGGCGCTACCTTCTCGTCTTGCAGGAAGTTGTGCAGATGAAAAAGAGCTGTGATGAGATCCGCCCGTCCTGCGAACTGCACGCGGAGAGGTCTCCACGGAATGCCCCGAGTCGAAACCAGGATGCCGAAGCTCTGCTCGATCTTTACACGAAGCTGGCTCAGGTGGAAGTTGAACGAGTCCTCGCCCGCCGGCAGTTGCCTCCCAGGGCACGGAGTCAGACGCTTTTCTCCGATGGGGTAGGCGGCGTCACCAATGATGTGAAATCCGGCGGGCAAGCGGGCGACGGCCTTGGCGAGGGAAGATCGATTCCATGCCACCCAGTCGTTCGCCGAGGCTGGAGATATCGCCGACATTGCGCAGAACCGGTAGTCGGCGGTGCACATCGCTTGAACGTTGATGCCGTACGCGGACTTGCTGCCAAAGTAGTACGCGATGACGTTGGCGGTGTCTTTCGCACACGGAGCCTTGGCCTTGATGAACAGACCATC